TTTTTTAATTGATTATCAGCAATGCAATACGTACCCAGGCAGAGAATAAGCCTTTGACACACATGGGTCACCGCTAAATGAGTAGGGAACTTCGAGAATGGTCTCTCTATTAAGATACTTTGTAAGCTTATCAGTTATCTTCTATTTAAGGGTTGTCAAAATCACTGCCTGCTAACAAAGCTTGATTTTTTTTCTGATGGCGTCTCTATACATTTCGACCAAAATAAAGTTATTTTAAAAGGCATAACTCTACGCAATCCAGCAGTGCTATATTTCTATATATGTACAATATTTATGCTCTAAACTGAGAATTCTTAATTGATGACGTAGTATACATAAGCATATCACAGAAGTAAGCGAGAATGATAAAAGAAAACAGCACACTATCGGTCAACTCACAACAAAAATCAAAAACATCAGAAAGCTTAGTGGTGGAACAACCCGAAGGCACTCTATAGATATAAGAGAGGGAAAACACTAACGACCATTCGAAATCACATCAAAATTGAGGCAACCGTGCGCGTATGTCTACTGGGGAAGATATCCAACGAAGCAAGAGAATATTCCAATGGATACATGGCGAACATCAAGTATTGTATCAAATAATATTTAGGCTGGTTCGCATGTACAAACAAGGATTTCCACAATTTCCAAGTATCAAATACTGAGCAAAAGCGTGGCTTACAATGACATTTCGAAAGAAGAAAGTACGCTCCATAGGGCGTTTCCATCCCGACTACATCGCATCAAAATGGAACCTATGGGACTGTTGCTGACGTTCCACTCGGTCCTCCTTCTTTTCTCGATAGTGAAGGAAAGCAACCACGATTAGCAGCATAGCACAAACTAAGGCGATAACTGCTAAGCTCTAAAAATATAAATATCTGAGCAAGTAAATAAATAAACCGAATTTCAGGAAATGTGGGAGAAATGTGAGATCGCAAATAATGTAACTGCAAAGGTTTTGAGTTACTTACTTGCAAGATAAGCTGCGATGGAGTCACATACAATCGCGTTAGCCAATGGGTACCATCTTCTGGTGGGATAACGACAATTCTCGAGTTAGGTACAATCTGCTTTAATGTATGTTGACGAACAGCTAAACTATCAGAGTACCGTGGCGCTCCAATGGTCAACTGAAAGAATATTCTCTTTATGCTCGGAAACAGAACAGCAACCAAAATCCCTACTTCATCGACAAAATTTGGACTTCGTCCTAATCCAAACAGCACGTAAGGTGCTGCCAGGGCGCGGTGAGTAGAGGCAGGAAGTTGGCACGCAGCACTTTTCAAAGATCCTCCCCAACCATCGGACATGCTAAAGCTGGCACAAGCTCCACTCCAACTCACACCAGATCCTGAATAAGAAGACATATCAGAAGCCATTCCAGCTAAAAGATATAATCTGATATATTCAAAATGAAAGCTTTCGCCTTAAAAATCGCTCATTAACAATATGAAGCTCGCTTACTTTAGCTCACAAGCAAAGGAAAGCTTAAGAAAGGAGTAATCAGCTGAGAACTCAAACCGGTCGAGTATAATGGAATTATATTTGAATAAAATTCGAGGAGTTTGAAAGAAAAAAAATGCAAAAAAAATGAATGAAATGAAGAAGGAGAAATTACACAGAGGGAAATAGAAGACGTAGGTTTAAAAAAGTGGATGAGTGCTATCAGATGGTATAAAATTAAGGAAT